GCACACAACTCAAACATTTCAGCAGTGATTTGGAGTTTTGCTTTGTTTTGTTTCCAATATAATAGCAGGTGTCTTATTTTTGTATTAGCTCATTTTTATTACAAGCAAGTTCATTCATGATTGCATGTTTCACAAATCAGACATGAAATGCTTCTAACCTTTATTGTATCAATTGTATATTAATGTTTAATGCTAGGATATAAGATGATATGATTATGATATTGTCAATAATTATTACATATAACAAACACTGTTCTAAAGAATTTACATACGTAAATTCATTAGATGTAGCATATGGAAATAAATTTTTAACCAGCAAGTACTTTATGACAAAAAGGGTGTCTCCTCCTGTATGGCTCCTGCAACAGATAATGGCTCCTGAAATTCAACCATTAAGGAAGCATTTTAAAAGATTTACACTGGATGCCCAAATAGTTCAGGTCTCAGGGTGTATTTGTGCTTAAGGTATTGTCTCTTTTAGTTGCAAACCCACCCTTCTATAGTTTACTTTGTAATGCTGGTGCTGATCTGCACTGCTTTCATTTCTCCTTTTAAGATGCTTCCTACTCAGTTCTGAGAATAGAAGGCAGGATAGGGAGATAAAAAGGCAGGAGAAAAAGGAAAGAATAGACTGCTTCGATTCATCCTATTGCTGTTCCTGCATGAGGACCATCCTGATAATGGCCCTCCAGCCTGGCAGCAGCAGTTGTTTCAGACTCTAAATTCTTAACTATATTTCCAGGATTAGCCTCATTGGGCTAATACAGATATTACTTCTTTCTTAAAAGTTTGGGCCCCAGGTTCTTGGGGATCTTCCACCAAGAAGAAAATCCCAACCCCTTTCTTCTCTTGTGCCCCTAGCCTTAAGAATGGTAGCTATTTTTCTGTCTGGAATGCACTTGATACCAAGAGATTCTGGGATATATTTGGTCATGTCTATGGCTTTTAATGAAATACTGACTTCCTTGCAATTGGGAAATGAGGTACTAAAAATTCATGACATCAAGTCACATCAGTTAACTAAAATAATCACTTCTAGTTTATTACAATGCAGTAAAAGGCACTAAGTCTTCTACACTTAATTATTATAGTAGTTATGATGACTACAAAAGCCGTGGGTGGGATGTCCTCTTCTGACTGGAGAATCTACAGACAGAAAAGTATAAGTTTGGCACTTTTAATTCTCAGTTTGAAAGAAAAAAGAACAAAAGCACTCCTATGGCAGCCAAAATAATTTCTTAGTTTTTGTAGCTGAAGGACTGTCTTCTCTTTAAAAAGCAGATGCATATTTTATTTGTGCTAATTGTAGAATTTCAATATAAATTGAAATCTAGCACTTGCTATGCCACTTAGGAAAAATTCAGGACATGAATTGTGAAGAACAATGAAGCCGAAACTTGTATGATGACATCTGAGTGGACTCAGTTAATACTGAGAATCTTACAACTCAAGAATTTCTGGCCGGGTGCGGTGGCTCACGCCTGTAATCCCAGCACTTTGGGAGGCCGAGGCGGGCAGATCACGAGGTCAGGAAATCGAGACCATCCTGGCTAACACGGTGAAACCCTGTCTCTACTAAAATTACAAAAATTAGTGTGGCATGGTGGCGGGTGCCTGTAGTCCCAGCTACTGGGGAGGCTGAGGCAGGAGAATGGCATGAACCCGGGAGGCGGAGCTTGCAGTGAGCCGAGATCCGGCCACTGCACTCCAGCCTGGGCGACAGAGCGAGACTCCCTCTCAAAAAAAAAAAAAAAAAAAAAAGAATTTCTAAGATTTTCTTGCTAGAGAAAGGAATCCATCTTCTTGGATCTGACAAGACTATGGATTAAGACCCTTCAATAACTCTGCCAGGTAAAGAACTCCGAATCAACCAGTTAAGATGCTGTCTAAGAGAAAAGGCTAGTGGAAGAAGGAATTTATAAATATCAACTACAGCCATGAAAACTATAGCACCTATACATATCTTACTCTTTACTGGTTATCCTTTACATAGATATGGATATAGTTATATATACATAAAAGTCAAATGGGCCGGGCGCGGTGGCTCAAGCCTGTAATCCCAGCACTTTGGGAGGCCGAGACGGGCGGATCACGAGGTCAGGAGATCGAGACCATCCTGGCTAACACGGTGAAACCCCGTCTCCACTAAAAAATACAAAAAACTAGCCGGGCGAGGTGGCGGGCGCCTGTAGTCCCAGCTACACAGGAGGCTGAGGCAGGAGAATGGCGTAAACCCGGGAGGTGGAGCTTGCAGTGAGCTGAGATTGTGCCACTGCACTCCAGCCCGGGCGACAGAGTGAGACTCCGTCTCAAAAAAAAAAAAAAAAAAAAAAAAGTCAAATGGATATTTAGATATATTTGTATTTGCATATAATAAAAGGTCTCATTCTTTACCTACCTTTTGCTGTCACCTTACTATTTTATATAAACTTTTCATCCTATATATTTGAAACAGTTTGTCTGTGTCCCCTCCCAAATCTCATCTTGAATTGTAACTCCCATAATTCCCACGTGTTGTGGGAGGGACTTGGTGGGAGGTAATTGAATCATGGGGGCAGATCTTTCCCATGCTGTTCTTGTGATAGTGATAAAGTCTCATGAGATCTGATAGTCTTATAAAGGAGAGTTCCCCTACACAAGCTCTCTCTTGCTGCTGCCATGGAAGATCTCCCTTGCTCTTCCACCATGATTGGGAGGCCTCCCCAGCCATGTGGTACTGTGAGTCAATTAAATCTCTTTCCCTTATAAATTACTCAGTCTATGATATGCCCTTATTAGCAGCATGTGGACAGACTAATACAATATTTTGTAATTGAGTCTTTAGGAAACAGAATATTCCACTGGGACTGTGATTGTGAAAGAGTAAATAGCATCACTCAGAAATAGATACTGTGATGGATACTGTAGCTGTTGGGATTTTTGTGTACCTCCTTTTTGGACAAATGATGTGAGCATATTTGTTTGTATGAAGAATACTTGCATTTTATTGTTGTGAAACAGTATAAATATTAATATATACAAAAGTGTGTCAATGGTACTGAATAACCAAAGGGACAAGCTATGCTAGTTAGTAAGCAATTATCTGTCAGCTTTATATCCAACCTCTATACTCTATTTCTTGATGCCTGGACTAGAACTCTGTGATTTTCATTTCTTCTCTGACACAAGGATTTCTGTGAGGTTCTGCTGATAGCAGAGGAGTGAGACAGGAAGACAGGAGGAAAATGAAAGGAATTTTGTCTCTTTCATTGACTTACTTTTTCTCTTGATGTTACCTTTCACCTTGTGACAACAGTTGGTTTCAGTCTCCAGTTTTTTGCATTCCCAGAACCAGTCTCATTGTGTCCTCCCACAGTTACTAGTAGCTCTTCCTCAAGAACCTGAGCCCAAATATGCAAGTGTTCTCCTTCAGGCTTTGAGATTTTAGCAGCCATGGACAAACGATAGAGATCTGAGACCTGGCTCTGATGAGCCCCTCCTCAGAGGGAATAGAATAAATAGAATCTTCTGTAGTGTTTTCTAAATTGTTTTCTGGAAAATGCCACTCCCAGGATTTCCTCCATGCAAAATGATACTTAGAGTTATATGAATTTGGGAAATGTTACAGTATTAGAGATTTATAGTGCACATAAGTATCATCATGGCTGTGAGAAGACCAGCAGAAAAGACATTTGCTTCACTTTGCCTCAACATCTCTCCTCCAGTTTTTTCACTAAGGAAACTGTTTTATTATCACTTAACCACTAGTACCATCCTATGGCATACACTGAGAAACATCATTCTCTGGAATCTTGAGAATTTGAAAGTTTTATAGTTGTATAAAGTTTTTTCTTGAAATATCCCTTCATAGGGGAGGAACATAAGGTCTATAATTTTTTTACTTGATTTTATCTATCTGTTCTAGCTCTAAGCATAAATGCTGACTGAGAGTAATAAGTGACATGTAGAATGAAGGCTGACAAGGGGCACAAGTGATGTCAGAACCCCAGGAAAATTCTTACAAAAAGTGACATACAATTGAGACAATACTAGAGAATACAAGAGGGGAAAAAAGAATAGGGATCATATCATATTAGATGAGGACATGTATAGGTATGGTTAAATGAACAAGCTATGGATTCACATCGCTTGGGTTTGATTATCAGCTACAGCACTTGAGTGCTCTTTGATTTTGAACAAAATTATTCATCTTCTTTGAGCCTTAGTTTCTTCATCTTTAAATGGAGATAATAGCAGTATATTCTTTACAGGTTTGTGAGGTAGATTAAATGTGACCTAGCATATAAGATGATTAACACTCACCTGACATTTAATTATTTAATATACCCTGTATAATTATACCAATTTTATTTAGATAGAAAATAATAATAATGAAACAAACATACATGGTTCAAAATGAAAGGGTCTTTGAAGAACATCATTCTATAGATGAGAATACAGCTGAGTCTCCCAAAAACAAAGATATTGGGCCAAGGAGCTAAATGATACAGAAGTTGCACAGACACCTCAGTCTCCTCACACTTAGTAGAATGCTGTTTCAATTAAACTTAAAGTTGTTTAGCTATAGTATGTTTGCATTTTTCTGGGTAAAAGTAAGAGTAGTAGTATTAAAAAATTGTTTTTTCTGGGTTCTGGTCTCAAGGTGATCTCTGTGATGTTTAAGACCCAGGAACATCCAATGAGAGGTTTGTCCATTTAGACAAATCATACCACATGCTTTCTCCTACTCTTAGTTCCTACTTCCCTATATCAATTCTATGTGGGAGAAATACTGTTAGAGCGAAGCATCAGGAAGGAATGGGATTGACTGAGCAGGAAAAGAGGAAAGATGAACTATTTGAATATAAATTCAAATCTTTTTATCAGCACTATGTAACTGAGCCTGGTTGTCCCATTTCTCCTACCTCTCACCAGAGGCAATAACATTGGGGTAGAGGTAACCACTTTGCTTCTCCACACTTAAAGAAAGTCTCTCTAGGTGCATGAAACAGATCCAGAGACCCAGTTAATTGTTGTTTTATTTAGTGTTATAATTAGAAATATGGAAAACACAAGAGATAACCATAGTCATAATATATAAGGCTTCCTTATAATGACTACTTTTTTCTACAACCTCATAGAATTATAGTAAGTGTATTATTTTAAAAGGAGAATTTGGTAGGATAAAATACACTGAATTTTAGTCCAACTACAGCTATGTACATATGCATACATAATGTATGAGTTATGTATAATTTATATGTATACAAACACCACATTTTATTGAGGTAAAAGAGCACAGCGAGGTTAAAAACAAATGGCCAAGCTCAACATAGGCTTTACAATGCCACTGAAAGCCATTTTACTAGCATAAAGGCCTCCAACATGCTGGTATTAACCTACTGATAAATATTTAGACTGTATTTATATTTTGCTCTCTTGAGAACTAAGCCAAAATAAACATATTTTAAGGCAACCTTTGGAAGTGTCAGCATTTCTTATTTTATCTGCCTTGTGGTAAATGTTATTCACAGTGACAATTAAAAATATTGAACAATGAAAGACAAAGGCTGACAGATTCATCCTGAACCCATTTTATCCTCATAAAATTTTTTTCTGACATACAGAAAAGTCATATTTTTCAGCAACCTTCAACTTTCTATTTCGAGGAGTAGGATTATTGCTTTTTTGCCCACACATGCTTACTGAAGCTGCGTTACAGATTTCCAATTTGATTTCGTGTTCTGAAAAGCATCTACACAAGTCTCAATACTATTTTTTAAGAAAATATAGGAAACAGGAAACAAGAACTTAGAGAATTCAGGTTGTCCTGGCTGCAACCTATTCAGCACTGCTACTCATTTCCATTGTATCTTTGGAAAGATAAACTATCCAGTATACAAGGTTGAATCCTGCAAATGCAACTGGAAAGAGAATTCGAGAATACTGGTCTATTTTACTGGTGCCTCCAAAGGCTGGAGAGAGTGGTGGGGGCGTGACAGGTGTTGATTGTAGAATGGGCGCTCTAGTGAGCACTTTACTGGCCTCAGAAGATGAAACTATTGGCAAGGACAGAGAAGTGATTCTTTTCTTCAGATGATATTTGGAGTCAGGATGCTGTGGAAAAAAGACAAATATTAAGCCCAAATGAAAGAATAGATATTGCTTAATTGCTTATTTATTCATTCTTTCACCATTGACAACTATTTATTGACGATTTACTTTCTATGTAAGGTCAAACATCAATGACTTCTTAATAGTATTTGATGGTGTTACTTTTCCAAGTAAGGCTTAAAACATTGTAAAATAATTTACTTGCTTCCATCTGACATTCTATTACTCAATACATCAGCAAATAACACAAAGCATATTTCATGTCTTATAACTATGGTAAGCATTGTATCCTTAGGGAGGGACGAGCCAGGTTGCAGAGGCATAGCCACCGCTGGTTGTGCAGTAGTCTGTAGGGCAATGGGTTTGGGCAATGGCATGTATTGGGAGGAGGGGTGAATTCCAATTTGGAATATGTAGACAATTAGTACAAAAAAATTACAGCCTGGTTTATTAAAACCATTCTTCTATACACATTCCCAGCCTACATTCTCATCTTTGCACAGTCATAAGCTTGAATCAGCTAAGATTTAAAAAATAAATAAAATTAGCCTATGTATGCCAAAGGCCAGTGACAAAGAATAAATATCCTTAAATTGAGTAGGATGACTGTTCATACCTTGAAATATGCCTGCCTCTTAGCTCAGAATTTCTATATTGTACACTTTTTACTTCCCATTCAGAACTTTCTAACTGGTCTTTCTCTATCCTCAGTCACTAAAAATGATTCATTTACTGAACTCAGATTTGTTATATGCTTCTTTCTATCACTAAACCTCCTGTTTCACTGAAATCATAAGACAATCAACTACAGTCTTGAATGGGATGTTTAACACAATAACTGGCAAGTGAGGTTAGGGTCCAGATAGGGGAAATGCTTCGTCCATGATGGCAGCAGCGCTAGCAATAAACTCCACTGGTCAGTTTCAGTGCCTGTTTCATTCCAACATTTTTCTCATCTTTATTCTAAAGCATTGGGCCTAGTTCAGAGACTCTGATTCTGTTTGATTTAGATGGCTTTCATGCTGTTGGTGTCTAGGGGGCCCTCCTCTGATTCCTATCTTTTCTTGTCTACATCCTGTAACGATCACTCTCCTTGTGACTAGCTTGTCCTTGCTGGGCCTCTGCCTTCAAACACTTGCTGTGCATTACCCCTGATCTTGTAAAATGGCCTTGTTTCCTCACTGGCAGCAAAATCACCACTTCGCTGCCTGGCAGGATATGTGACCCACGTGGGCAAACTCCCGTGGCTTTAGCCAGCAACACTGCGGCAACAGGATAAGACAGCTGCCTCCCCTTTGCTGGTTGAACCACAGGACCAAAATGACCCGCCGATGTGGTGACATTTGGACTACAGGGACAACAACCTCCAAAACTTCTTTTCTATATTCCCTTCTTGATTTTGTTATTTGGTTTGCCATGAAACTTACTGGGTATCTAAATAATAATAGTTCTCATAGAGAGCTTAGGTTCACTGTTTTTAGGGGCCATGGAGAAATCTGTTTCTTTAACAAGAGCAAAAACAAATGGTGTAGTCAAGATTTGATTTGAAAAAAAACACAGTAAATTTCAACCAAGGGCTATCTTTCTTATCTATTGGCCCAGAACTGTGGTACTTAATTCTGTGGTACAGAATTAAATTAGTCATAGGTCTTAGAGGTAGAAGAGAGTTTAAAATATTAGGAGGGCTAGTATGCTGCTCTTGAAGAGGAGATGAGGGAAACTTTCTATTAAAAACAGATGGGCCAGACGTAGTAGCTGACTCTTGTAATCCCAGCTTTGGTAGGCCGAGGTGGGTGGATCAGAAGGTCAGGAGTTCAAGACCAGCCTGGCCAACATGGTGAAACCCCATCTCAGAAATACAAAAAATTAGCCGGTTTGGTGGCGGGTGCCTGTAATCCCAGTTACTCAGGAGGCTGAGGCAGGAGAATCACTTGAACCCGGGAGGCAGAGATTGCAGTGAGCCAAAATGGTGCCACTGCGCTCCAGCCTGGGGACAGATCAAGACTCCCTCTAAAAAAAAAAAAAAAAAAAAAAAAAAAAAAAAGATGACAGCTGAGGACTACTGTGCCCAGAATCACCAGGCTGTGTGGGGATAGAGACAGAGTAACTGTCTCAGTGCATGCTGCCTCTCCTAGAGAACACAGAACCATTTTTCAAGAATTTCCTATCGTATTTCTCAGACTCTAAATTTTCACCTATTAAATATAGTATTAAAATATTCTTTACCTGAAAGAGCAAAAGGTGTCACTGTTTCATCCTCCAAAAAGAGCCATCCTCCTCCCACATATGGAACACTAAAATACTTTCCTCTAGCAAACATTTCTAAGAATCATGATAGAGTAGAAAGAAGCCAGCCTTCAGAGCAGATTTTCTTTCTACACTCATTTTGACTTTTAACAGCATGCATTATCTGTCTGAAACATGTTTTTCTATTTTAGGTAGAAAGAGGGAAGACATGCCTAGTTCATTGGAATAAAGCAGTGACTATAAAACATTAAGTACCATAAAAATGTAAAGCCTTGCTTATTCTCCCCGTTTTTTAGAGATGTGGTGGGGGCAGTTATTTGTGAATCTGTGCATTGTCACAGTGTCATAAAAGACTTAATGGGGATTCCCAAATAATCATGGTCCAGAGGTCAGAAGTACCATTCAGAACCAAACACCATGAAAAATTTGTAGTAAAATGGATACTGTAATTTTACTTAAATTAAAAAATTAAAATTAAATTATATTGAAATTAAAGGTTTCCTACATTAGCATTCCCCTTGTCCTCATCTACTTCCCCAAACAATCTCTGTGGAGGGTTTCCTAGGAGTTAAGAGAACAAGGAGAGTCAGAAATCCCTAGATTACAGTCTCATAGCTACTAATTGCGTGCAATATGATTTAAACACCTCCTAAGTGCCATAGACTCTAATTCTCTCTAAGCTTCAAGTTTCTATCTGTGAAGGCAAGGACAAATATTACTTAACACATACGTTTTTTCCTATATTTTTAAGAATTTAAGAAAAATGCCTGATATAAAGATATATATACACAAACATATATATGTGTATATATACACACATATACATATGTACATATATTTTTTGCTCAGGAATCTTAGCTATATCTATTTTTTAAATCATTTTCAAAATACGTCTGCTTCTCATTCTCACCACTCACATATCTTTATTTCTTCTTTGTCTGAAATAACATCCACCTGTCACCCATTTTTATCTTTCCCATACATCTTTTGATACCAAACTCATTAACACCTACCATCACTGATTACTCCAGCCTTTATGCATTTTTCTGCCTAGTTATTATGACTCTTGTAGATGTTATTATTATTTTTTTTTCTTTTTTTTTTTTTTTGAGACGGAGTCATGCTCTGTCGCCCAGGCTGGAGTGCAGTGGCCGGATCTCGGCTCACTGCAAGCTCCGCCTCCCGGGTTCACGCCATTCTCCTGCCTCAGCCTCCCGAGTAGCTGGGACTACAGGCGCCCGCCACTTCGCCCGGCTAGTTTTTTGTATTTTTTAGTAGAGACGGGGTTTCACCGTGTTAGCCAGGATGGTCTCGATCTCCTGACCTCGTGATCCGCCCGTCTCGGCCTCCCAAAGTGCTGGGATTACAGGCTTGAGCCACTGCGCCCGGCCTGATATTATTATTTTCTTTCTTGTAAGTATAATTATTTTTGTTGTGCCTTATCTCCTTTCCTAGCATGGAATCTCCTCAATGGTGGAAGACACATTATTCATATGTATGAGCATTCCACAGTGTCTAGCAAATATTTAAAACACGATATTTGTTTAATAAACAAATGCTGAATCAACAAATGAAAAAAATCTATACATTTCCCAAGATTTGTTGGAGGAGGTAGGCAAAGAGAAGGGTGAAAAGTTCTATGATTATGTTACATTGTATTTCAATATGGTTTTATATTACATTATAAGCACCAGTTCTAAATGCTTATTGTTGACTAGCATTACAAAGCAATTTTCAAATATTATTTCATGAATTTCTTCAAAAAATCCACAATGTCATATTATCTTCATTTGATAGAAGAGCAAATGGAGGCTTAAGCAGGAAGCTCACAAAGGTAATGAGTGGCAGGATCTGAATTCAATTTCCCTCTGATGCCACAGACCACACTCTCAACAATTATTATGCTATACTTCCTATCAACTTTAGCGTTTTGGGCACAGTGTCTCAAGCTCAGAACTACTGACCTTTTGGGGCCAATCACTCTTTGTTATGGAGGACCCTCCTCTGTGTCTTGGGATGTGGAGCGGCATCCCTGGCCTCTACCAACATGATACCATTAGCCACCTCCACCTCAAGTTGTATCTCCAGACACTGCCAAATATCTTTGGGGGGAAATAGTTCCCCACGGGAAATCACTGGCTTAGATTCACAAGTGTCCCACTGCCCGGGAGTGATTGGGGGAATTTCTAACAGGCAGCAAATATGATAGGCTAAGGGAAATGCAAGAGGCCTGGCTACCCTGCATCTGGATAATCAGTTGCTAAATAACTGGCAATTGACAGCACAAGTGGATTGGACATTAGTTTAGAAGGAACACGCTGAAGTTCTGAAATGAAAAGAAAGCCAATTTTGTGAGCCGTTTAAGCTACAGGTTTGCATCAGTCCTGCCTGCTCTATTGTAAGCATAGCAGCTTCAGTTGATGGTAAAATAGGCTTTTGTCAGAGTCCAGATGAGGGCTCAGCTTGAGGCTGTCACTGTTTTGAGTGGAACGCCTGTGGTTTTGAATTTTTGCAGGGCTCCCCTGCTGCTGAGTGCCATCCTGCTTTAGGTATTTATAGAGCACTGCTTTGTTTCAAGTAATGCCATATTGCAAAGGTACTTTAAGTCAAACTGGACTTTATGACCATCAACTATGTAATAGAGGGAAAAAGTGTTTTAGGAAGTATTTAGACAAATTTTTATATGTAATTCAATGAGTCTCAGTAGGTCTGAGAGGTAACCTATTGCTCCCACCACTTAAAAAGATACTCTAACCAGGACTGCCTTACTAAGGGATAAACCAAGCATTTGTTTTTAGAAAAAGCAAAGAGGGACAACACAAATAAGAGAAAATATTTTTTGAAAACACTTAGTATTGATAGTTTGCAAAAGTCATCATATTAATCATTATGGGGAAAATTAGAACGCTGTTGGGTTTTCCTGTGTTTGTGTTCAGCTGGTAGAGTTGAAAACAGACACGACTCCAGAATTTCTACAGACACGCAGCTTATTGGCAGCAATATATTGAATAGTTGATTCATGGTACTAGGGAACATGTCTAGAAAACATCAGAATGTTTGGAGGATTCATAATGAAGTATTGGGTGGGGATTTGATAGAAGGTATGGGGAAGGGACTAACCACTTACAACCCTCATCTAATCCATCCTGCCTGCCCCATAAATCATACAATGGCACAACCAAGAAGGGCACTGTGATCTTTCTGGTACATAGAGTCTTTAATGGTCTTAATTCAGTCCTTAATTGTAGGGAGTAATGACAGTACTCAAAAAAAATCTGCTCCAGCCTGGGCGACAGAGCGAGACTCCGTTTATTTGTGCAATATTTGGAGTAGAAAAGGTAAACCTTTCAGTATTCGATTCTTCACATCTCTCTACACAGATAAAAGCAGCATGGTGATGGCCCAGTGCACCCTACTACCTTAAAAAGGAGCACAGGAAGAGTATATACCTTATTGTCCTCTCTATGCCCAAGTTTGTAGCAACTGGCTTAGAGCTTCCAGCACAGAGCCAGGCTAATTTCTTCTCTGTTCTTAGCTTAGACATCACTCTGCTAAAAACGAAAACCCCTCCAGACTGAGTAAGACACTTTTGCATGACTCTTCTGCAGCTCCCTATACATCTCTAACGACAGGCTTTATTCCAAGGTATTATTAAGGCTCATTGATCTCTCTCACTTCCTGCTGTACAAGAAGCTCCATGAGGGAAGAAGCCCTCCGATATCACTCACTAATATATCCTCAACACTCTACAAAAGGCCTGGCACATAAAGGTACTTATCAAATATATATGGTATGAATAATTCAATGAATGCCTAAGTAGTCAGTAAATAGGTGTCAGATGAAAAGAAAAAAAAGAAATGAATACATAATACAATCAACATAAATATACTAATTGTCCTGACTAATGAAATTTTGGTCAATTTTGTGTTATATAATTTACAAAAGGCATCACACCCATGTAAAGAAGAGAAGCTACATTGAGAGTAATGACACTGCTCAAAGGATTGCAGAGGGGATGGGTGAGTGATTGACTGTCAGGAACGTAGTGATGAGGGCATAGACCTTTAAAATAACAAGAAAACTAGCAAACTATGCCAAAAGAAATCAAGGACCACAGTTGATCTTACACACAATATAGGTACAGGTATACTCCAGACATGTTAATAGGCTCTGAAACTCATGAAGATATAAATAACTCTCTAATGTTAAGGTAGCATACCAGATAAAAACATTAAGAAAAAAATGACATATAAGTGGGATAAACACTGTTGACAATTTCTTTTCCAGAAATAGTTAATAAAAAATAAAATATCTAATTCCATATGTCTTAAAAACAGAAAGATAGTCTACAGAGCATTTCTGAAGATTTAGCTTTAAGGTGTCCTTTTGGGTTTGAGATCTAGATTTTAAATGCTTGAGTTTCTCCATTATTATTATGTTTTAAGGTCAAAATCAAAGTGATAAAATGAATAAACTTTTACCCACATTCACTGTAGGTAGTTTCCTGTGAAAAGCAATGAACATACTAAAATATACAACATAGAATCACATGAAATATCCAAGCACTTAATTTCACTTCAACTTTACCACATTAGTGTGCTATTTCAATGTCAAACTTACTCGAATAATGTTGTTTTGATTACAACTGAATAGGTATTTTTAAATGTCATGGTATTTGGAAGAAAATGTCTTGCAATCAAAATATACCATTGTGTAGTATAAATTGTAAGTGTGTAATTTATGTTTGTTCCTCTACATCATATAAGACATCTTGCCAAAGTTTGACATGAACAAATGTAATGCAAATGTCCTATGTAATCACCTATATTTAGTTTCGATACCTTCAAGGTTTACATTGTTTGATTTGGTCATTTTGTTTTTATGTTTATTTTTATACTTCAGCCTTTTAGAATTAAAATTTTCCTATGTATTGCTTTAAAATATTTTAAGTAAAACCAGGTTCAGAAATATAACTTTTCATAAGAAAAAATAAATGTTACCTGCAGGAAAAAAGTACTTGGAGATTATTTATATGCCATTTAAAAAAATCTAGCTTCCCAGAGGACCTACTCATTATATGTTACTATTTTAGGTTTACGGGAGGCAGTTTATATCAAAACCTGAGATCTTAAATTCCATCTTAAATTAATAACTTACACCTTTAAAATAATAGCCTGAGGGGGTGATTGTGTTTTCTCCAAGGATTTGAAATCATCCTCTTCTCAGTACTGCATGTTTCAAAAAAGGTAAAGCAAAAATATTGGTCTTTCTTTTTATTTCAATATCTGACCTATGAGCATATTCAAAATCAATCCATTTTTTTTCTGTTTCTGGCCATCTTTTTTTTTTTTTTACTTTTACTGCATTACACAAATAAGAAACTGGTAAACTGAATTCTGATAAGCACTTTTTTCATTTATAGATATGTATTAATATGTATATGACCTATGGACAATATACAGATTACATACTTATATGCATACAGATATCTTGTAACAGAATCACTTATTTCTACAAACATGAAAAAAATTCTCAGAAACATTTGGAATTTATCATGACAAAAAATGGTTTTAACATTATGAAGCAAGTCTGCAGACTAGGATATTTTGTAAAAATATATATATTTGGTGACCTTTCAAACTACATATATATAAAGAATATATTATTAAGTCAAAGGAAGAATTTTGGGACTCAACTATATTCTTAAAATGTTTTATCCTGTGGTATGCACTCTCATATATTTCAGTTTTTAAGGAATTATTGGGGAGGGTGGCCTCAGCCTCTGTAATGTTGTGGATTTCAGAGGTTCTTCTTCTGATTATTATTATTATTATTATTATTACAGAGACAGGATCTAAATGTGTCGCCCAGGATGGAGTTTAGTGGCGTGATCATGGCTCACTGTAACTTCAAAATCCTGCATTCTAGCCATCTTCTTGCCTCAGTTTCCTGGTAGCTAGAACTGCAAGCATATGCCACCACCACTGAGTAATTTTTTAAATTTTTTACAGATGTGGGAGTCAGCCTGCTATGTTGTCCATTCTGATTTTTAACTTCTGACTTCAAGTGATCCTCCCACCTCAGCCTCCCAAAATGCTGGGATGACAGGTGTGAGCCACTGCACTCGGCTTATACAAAGTTTTTAAATCAATTCCTAGATTTTCTACCAACTAGAAACTTATATTTTCCCTCTTCTAGACTGTGTTTTCCACTTGTGAAACAAGGTAATTATACTGGATCGCCGAATGGAATTTTTCTTCTTTTATCTTTATTTTTAAAATGAGGACTAATAAAAACAAATCCTTAAATTATATATTTCTACATATTATGGGGATGGCTTCTCATTTCTTGGAGAAAATATAAATTCTCAAATAAGTTTCTTAGTTTATCAAAGACAAACATTTCAATAAGAAAATGATCACCTTTTTAGTCAACAAGTGCCTCAGATTCTGAAAAGTAAAAAACAAATAGCTTTAAAACTTTCATCATAAAGTTAAACTGAGGATTACTGGGCTGCACATCGTTTTCAGATATGAAAGTGCTTACTAGAATTGATCAGTTGTAAAAAAATTTCAGTTCAAAGTATCTGCCTCACTTGAATTCACAGAGCACAATATTCCTGTTCTTAGAGCTACTCTTTAAGATTTGTATTAAAATAAAAATTTATGCCTGTCAATCAGTTTTATTATCCACTAAAATAAGAATGTGCAGCTTAATTGTTGTTATAATTTACTTTTATGCAAAATTGAAATCTGGGGGCATATTAATGGTCCTTAAAATATTAATGTTACCATTTGTTTCTTATTCAAAAACCTCTGGGTACCAGAGCTTAGCCACAGCAAATTTAACATAAATTTATAACTATTTCCCACTGAATATAAGCCATTGAATATAAGCTCATTGATATACATATATTTAATATACAAATGCGAATATGAAAATGTTTTAGTATGAATCAAATTCTTGGGTTATGATTCAACATTCAGAGAATCTATTATTCATTATTCACAGATGCCTTGCCCTCTTGGAATAAAGCAGCAAGCAGATTTATAACAAAAATTGTCCATTCCATAGAAGTCCCTGTTTCTTTCCTGCAGACTCTGAAACCTCATTAGAAAAAACATTTTTTTCTTTTACTTTTTTCCCCCTAGTTGGTATAAGTGATTCTGTTCAACAGAAACATCTAAAGGCTTAGAATTTTCTAGTCTTCTCTGAGAGCCTGGAATCTGCCAGCATAAGTGAGCATGATGAAAGAAGAATGCCCAAAGTTTAGAGCAAAGATAAATGAAGGATTGTTCCTTAGCTTTTCTCTGTGAAGTTGGAACAGAAACTGGCCTTGCTCTTGAAAGTACAGTTATATAAACTGTGCTCAACTCACACTACTTTTGGACACTTCGTTGTTTCTTAACACTATTTAGGCTGCTTTTTCCTACAGTAGGTAACGGTAGAAAAAATAAACAATTACCAAAACAATCTCAGCTTCCAAAGGTTCAGTAGCTTTTGATATTGTCACCGTAGGTGGGGCTGCAATCTGTGCCTTCCTTTTGGCCTTCTGTGTCTGAAGATTGGTAAAGTAGTTGACGGCTGCGAACTCGATAAGAGCAGAGAAGACGAAAGCAAAGCAAACAGCTATGAACCAATCCATGGCAGTGGCATATGACACTTTTGGCAAAGAGTGCCGGGCACTAATGCTCAAAGTGGTCATAGTTAAAACAGTGGTGATCCCTAAAATAAAAAAGAAAAGGAAATGTAATATTAATACTGGGAATCCTATGGCAAAATCAAATGAGAATGTGTCAGTAGAGAAGATAAAACACTCTACCAAGGCAAAGTAATTTTTTAATATTTCGAATATATTTTGTATTATAATTGTTCATAATTATTATCATAAGTATTATCATTTCTGTATCTTTCAATATTTAGTGAAGTGACTTATACATTATAATTGCTCAAAAAATTTTGAGTTTGCTGAATTGAACTAGTTTATTGTAAAATTTAAGTCGTAAATACTTCTAGTTGTTTAGGGCTTGAGAGAACTTGTAACAAATTATTACCACTTAAGAAAAAAAAACTTGAGACTGGGCGAGGTAGCTCACGCCTGTAATCCCAGCACTTTGGGAGGCTGAGGCGGGCGGATCACGAGGTCAGGAGATTGAGACCATCCTGGCCAATACGGTGAAACCCTGTCTCTACTAAAAATACAAAAAATTAACCAGGCGTGCCGGCGGGTGCCTGTAGTCACAGCTACTCGGGAGGCTGAGGCAGGAGAATGGCGTGAACCCGGGAGGCGGAGCTTGCAGTGAGCGAGATCGGACCACTGCACCCCAGCCTGGGTGACAGAGCGAGACTCCGTCTCAAAAAAAAAAAAAAAAAGAAAGAAAGAAAAAGAAAAAAAACTTGAATTTCAGATCAGTTTTACCAACTAACATATTAAATAACAGTTAATAAATAAATATGGTATAAATATTAGCATAAAATTAGGTTACCTAATTTGATTCTATTTCTAGCTAGATTTTAAGGTATAATATTTACTCATTAGAAGATAAAATTTATCACTCACTTGCTGGCAGTTTTCCTTCTTGAACTATGACCTGGGGAATTTATACAATTAGGAGATGTATAATATTGATGGTCGACATCATTATGTTGGTATTCTTTAGTAATTTTCAAAAAGATCTATTTTAACATAGTACATTTAAAAAATCAAGATTTATGATTTCTATTTAATTCAAGTCTATCTTCAGACTACTAAATTTATAATCATTAAACCCAGGAAAAACATTGGAGTTTGTCACTGATGTTTCCAGTTAAAGCTCTTTTTCTTATTATTTAATTTTGTTTTATCACAGTTAGTAGTGATTCTATATATAAGTGGAACTAAATATGTAGGTTGAATCATAAAAAATTAATGAGATGACAATTATATATGGTTCAACCTAATAAAAGGGGTATACAACTTATGTATTCCTGTGTTCAATATCTTAATCTTTTGCTTTCATGGATTTACATGCAGTTTTTACCTTTCTGCTTTTCTTCAGTTATGACAAAGAAAATCAAGATAAAGCACTGCAAACAGGACACATGAAAGTCATAGGAAACCAGCCATAATTCTCGCTGAGACAAATGTTTTGTTGATTCACCACACAACTTGTGATATAATGACAGTGATTTTGCATGATACATATGTCTGGATGAGACAGGAACCTACTTTCTTTGGGGATTGAAAAAGTGCACCGGTGTGAATATTTACTCAAAATACACAAGCAGTGAAAGGTGGAGGATGAACGTACGTGAAGTACAAAATGTGAGACATACCAAAAACAGTTCTTGCTGGAACGGACTCCTTATTAATCCAGAAAGACACCTGGGAAAGAATGACTGTCATAATGCAAGGAGTATATATCTGTATCATGAAGTAGCCCATCTTCCTTTGCAAGTGGAAGTAAACTGTCATTATAACGTATTCACCTGTTGGAAGACACATACATCAGTATTATTACTGCTGACAGTCTGCAAAAAGAATGCAGTTGAATATAAATTCTTGACAGTTTTTAAATTAACATTGCCTGGAAGAAAATAAGCAAAGGTACATTTCAGTATACGAGAAAGCTACTTGATCAGCAGATGACAGAGCAAAGAGACACATCAGCTCATTGTTTTCAGTAGGGTTCCTTATATCATATACATAAAAAACTACTTATTCCAAGATCACACAAATATTTACATGCAACTGGTTGCAAAATCAACTTTAAGGAAAGCTACTCATCACTTCAAAACAGCATGCTTAGCTGAGAATGGCTAAGGCAAAGGAAAAAGATGTTTTGAAAATGTGCACTGGAGTCATCTTGCGGAATTATTTCCATCCTTTGGTCAAATTCTTACCTGTGTTAGATTTAATTGTCTCACTAGATACTGTTTGTCCAATCAGATCATACTGGAGAAGGCTTGAAGATTCTTCTGGGACTTCAACTGAGTAAAGTGGTCCTTTTTTCCATGTATATATGATTTCACTTTTGGGATAAGCATCTACATGTTTGAAACAAATTAAATATAGCAGTGAATTTGACGAGTTGTCTTTTTTTCCTTCAAAGTGCACATTGTCTATAAAAAAGGAAATACAAACATAAATTGTATTTAATGTTTTCTTTAATCTTGATGACTAAAGCCTCAATTTATGAGATTGACAGAATGATTAAGTATATTCCTAGAACTGCACTGATAGTGTCATGATTATATTTCTTCCCTGATTTCCAGTATCAACTAAAACCAAGTAATTACATATTTTGGATATATTATTTGACTCTCAGAAGCCTGTTATAACTTACAGCTCCCAAACTTGAGTGGACAAGCATGCCCATCCATAGGAAAGTTAACCAGCCTCATGGGACAATCAGCATTGATGGTAAGCCTAGGAACATTGAAATCAGTGTTTCTGAGTTAGTATTATGGACATATCATTTAGGCGGGGGAAATAGAATTGGAGAAACCTCACCTCATGGTGTATAAAATGGTTCCATTCTGCATTATTCTGAAGAGTTTATTGGGAGTTGTCATGTTGTGTGCAATTGACTTTTTACCATTTCTGAAAAAAGTGTCAGGCGTCCAGATTTTACTGACCATCAAGTTATTCAAACTCAGAATCTCAGTTGGCCCCCCAAACTTCAACCTCTCATCTGTCCAAGTCTGGCGGAAAAAAACATCCATCGTATACTCCTAAGAGAAAATAAAATATTCGCGCAGGCTGGAAAGACAGTTCGCTAAGAATAGTTTATTCACTAGCCTATACACCCAATGTCTAAACTTAAGCAATAAAGCAAATTTTTATGGCAATAATTCTCACAAAATTATAATTTTAGTGAGTAATTATTATTGTTCTCAAACTTAAAGTTTGTATTGTTATAAAAGATAGTGCTGTGATGTTTACCCCTCCCTCCTCCACCTTGACTTTCCTTAATATTCTTCCTCTTTATCTATCCAGTCATCCATATTTCCATCTATCAATATGTCCTCCTTAATCTAGAAAATAGATTATGGAAATATTTAGTTTTGCCTTTGTGCTGGCTGGCCTTTATACCGTTGGTTAGTCTAACTATTACCCTTTTTACCTCGTTCACCCTCAAACGGATCTCAGAGCATCAGAGTAACATTCAGTAAAATTCCACACATAGATAAACCTTACTTGATAAACACACTATAGCTGCACATCAAAATTATTTTATATTGTTCTCAGGGAACATAAAAACAAGTGTTACCATGATTATTCTAAAGAGAGTATCATTTAAGTATGTATAATCAAAATTATGAGTTAATTTGTGGCTTTTATGAATAACATTGAAATGTTTAATAATTATAATAAGAGCTATTGCAAAAGTCAATAACAAATAACAACTTGCAATTACATCAAAGTATTGCCAATAATTGCTTTGCCTACTATATAAATTCCTTTATGAAACTTATTGTGACAAGTAGTGATTACATTTTAAAAATATAATTTGACAAGCAATATGCCCATCCAATAATGACCCAGAATGTAATAGGGATCTATTATACAAATAAACTGTAAAAACAGACACAAGCGTAAGATAGAATATTAAGAATACCCAGACTTCAACAACACAATGGCAAATTGTTGTGGTTGTTTATACTTGGAGTGGCTTAGAACACGAATGGAAAATATGATACTAAAATAATCCAGGATTCTGAATAATGCTGACTCTTTCTCCTTTTATAGTAAGATATTTATCTCTTGAATAAAACCCTTTCTCCCACTTTCCCTTTCTTTCTTATGTTATTTCTTCCTTCTTTTCCTCCATATTCCTTTCTCTTCTTCCTTTACTCCTTCCTTTATTCTTTCTATACATCGTCTTTTCTTGCCAACTTAAAAAAGCAGGAAATGAAAAAGTCTCCAATAACTGTTTCTTTAGAATTACATTTCCCTAATGAAACCTAATGATGAACCTCTTTAAAGACAGTTATGTTTACTTCAGCATTCGTATTTACATTTCAGTTTTAGAGAGAAATGCCACCTGAGAGGCGTAAAAGAATGCCATGATACACTTTGTTCTAAAAGATGCTTTCAAGTTTTCATTGCCTCTTACTATAAATACCCTCTTACGAATGCTACAGCCATCTGTACCTGGAACAGAGTCCCCAGAACACCCACTGGTCCACCCTCAATGTAAAAGGTGGAGAGCATTAGCCTTTCCAAATGACCTCTTTACTGTTTCAATAAAACATACTGATAATGATGTTTCCACAAAAGACAATTATGTTTTAGGTATCATAGACATACTCGATAAACTTTTATGTGGAATAGGATCTGTGTGGGTTTTTTTCCTCCTCCAATAAATTTGCTAGAGCTTCACAAAGAAGGGGAAAAAACTCTTCTCTTTGGAGGGAAGAATTAGTGCATAGTATGTGGATGGAAGAGAGGACATAATTTTAAAAAGTCCCTCAGCTTAAAATGTTCAAGCCCTTAGTGAAATGTGAAGATTAAGCCAGGAATCTGCTCTAATGGTCATGCCCTCCCAGCATGAATACACATATTGTGTCATGAATCTGGAGCCAAGCTTGGCGGCCATGCCCATTATCATTAGCTTTGGGACTCCACTATCCTCCCAGAAATGAAAATACCCAACTCACTTAGAACTCACTCACCATCTCCACATCTGACACGGGCCCAAAACTGGTCACATAAATGTCTGTTTTGACTTCAGTGACAGCACCTGAAATTAGCCCAGAGGGATGAAACAATTATCACTACTGATGTTAAAGGGATTGATCTCAGCATTCTACTGCCAAACCCCTTATCATAGCTAGTATCTGCAATGCATCCTATTGCATTCCAGTAGATCCTTCAGTCTCTCAACTCTGAAAACTCATGTCAGTGGCCTTATTTTGAATGTATTCTAGTCAATTGGGAGAACATTAAGGAATGAAAGAAGCTAGATTTGTTCTAATGAAAATGATAGTAATTAATGTATATTGATGGCTTTAATGGGGAAATGCTAAGAAAACTGTTTTACATGAATAATCTCATTTTGCACTCATACAAGTCTATGAGGCAAACATTGATCATATACCCACACAACAATTCAGGATATGAGGCTTAGAGAGTTCAAATAACTTGAACAAGGCTACTAATGGTGGATGAGGCAGAGACTGGATGGGAACATACACATGGTCTCTCTCCCGTGCCCCTGCCCCTGCCCCTTCCCTCTACCTCGTTTCTGACTCTTCTGGGTCTTCAAGGGGCAGAAACGGAGGAAGGAGACTACAGGTGTTTGTGTAGCAAAGATGCAGCTTCTTACCTCCAAATCCCGGCCGCAGCCGATTGTCATAGCCTTCAAGCAAGTTGTCCAGGATCCGACTGACGTTTTCTGAGTAGAAGTTGCCTTCATCTTCGAATTTCCCTAGGGCACTTTCTAGCCTGTGAGTAGAGAGTCAATGACCCTTACTCCCAGAATCAGAGAACATGTTTTATCTAATCTACTCTATTCCACCCTGTTACAAATAAATTCTACACCACTTCTGGCCTCTTTCATGATTCGATATAGGAGTCACCCAATGGATGTACACTTTTCCTTTCCTCTGAGATAAAAAGAAAACTCAGGAAAAAGAATCTTACTCACCACAGAATAATGCACAACCAGGGCAGAGGCGACGCCATCCTGCAGTGCACCGAAATGCACAATTCACCCTCCTCCTAGCGTCGTCCTCCCTACTAGCCAGCTCTGCTTTGCCAATCAACTGGAGAAATCTTTCAAACCCTTCATATCTCTATTCCTTGTTTGCCTCAAGTCAGTAATCCAACAGATAAAGAGGTTGCCAAAAAATTTGCAGGATTCCCCTGACTCCCTTCTTTCTTGTTTCCTTCTTCTCACGTGGAACAAGGTGGTTTGTGGTCTTAGATTATGTTCTGCAGACACCCAGCCTCCTCTGACTGACTCAGTTGGGAAATGAGAGTCTGAAGGGACAGTGCATGGTCGGAGAGCAGTGACAATAATCGAGTAAGGCATTAGGGGAGATTAGAAGGAAGAAATCCACTGCCAGTTTTGGCATGGAATTAGCAGGGCCCTGTGAGGAAATCTGGAAAGCTGTGGCATCTTGCTGATTGAGATTATGTTCCAATGGGCTCAGCGTTTATTATTTTTATGGTTCACAGAAGGATTCCTACACAGCTCTTACTGTTTAAAAAGTCTAACACTATTGGGACCCTCTTGGATTCCTTTTCTGATTTTCATCAGCATTACTAGCTACAGCCACACCCTTCTGTATTTAAAAATTATTCCTCATGATTTATTTACCAGCACTTGTAACACAACAGAAGAACTCCCGGCCATCTTGCTGTTGAGTAAATATTTTTTTCAAGGTACTTTGCTGACCCTTCTTGTCAAAGGTACGTCATCTCAAGCGAAAACAGAAGTGGGATCTGCTGCTATCATTAGAGACCTGGTCAGTTTCTTGAATGCCACCTATAGGAGACAATGCCTAAGAAATAGCAGGTTAAGACTCCTCATGCAGAAATATTACAAAAATAAAGCATCTATACATGTGGTTAATGTTGACAATTCTGGCACTATTTTATTAGGCTTGCCACAGGTCGAAAGGAAAATGTCTGAATCCAAGAAACAGCATTCTATTCTCAGTTCTGGTAGGAGGAAGTTGTAGTCAAGAAAAGTTCATTTAAGCCTTAAAATTTTAATCTTTTCTTTAAATAAAAATTTTAAAAAGCATTGTGAATATACATGTCTGTGTGTACATCTATTATATAGAATATATAATAAAATTATAATATATATTATACATACACACACACACACACACATACACATAGATATTTCAATTCAGGAACATAAGATCAAGGATCAAAAGTCTCAATTCACCATCCTTCTGCCAATTTCATTCCTTACTCACCCAGTTCACAGCCTGTACCTTTGGAATCCAAATTCTACAAAGGCCATGGTAACTATTGCAGACATACAGCACAGCCTTAAGAGTCACACTTGAGAACATGACATAAATCATTTGAGGAACATTTGAATATATTATTGTCAGGGACAGACACATGGCAGCCATTTAAATGAAGATGCCTACAATGTTTTCTCTAATGTAAGGGAAACACTCCTAAAACCTTTATGTGTTCATTATGGGATCCAATTTTCACATCTGTACTCATTCTTTTTATTCTCCTTTAAACCTACTCCCACTGGTGACCATAATGTATTTTGAACTCACATTAATTGTGCTATTACCTAAATCCCCTAAATATCTGGTATATATGATGCTATGAAATAATTCTCTTCAGATTAATCACAACTTTTTTTCAGCCAGAGAACCCTATATTTATTTAGATATGTGACTGTTTTTATTTTTCGTATCAAAATGTTTGCCTTTCATCTCTGATTTGTGTCATCAGAGAGAAAGCTTTGTGAGGGTTTTCAGACTGAATGTTTCTGTCTTTTCTTTTTTAAATTTAATTTAATTTTAAATTCCGGGATACATGTGCAGAACATGCAGGTTTGTTACATAGGTAAACATGTGCCATCATGTTTTGCTGTACCCATTAGCTCTTCACCTAAGTATTAAGCCCTGCATGCATTAACTACTTAACCTGATGCTCTCCCTTTCCCCATGTCCCCAACAGGCCAAGGCCTGTGTTGTTGTTCCCCTTCCTGTGTCCATGTGTTCTCATTGTTCACCGCCCACTTATGAGAACGTGAGGTGTTTTGTTTTGTTTCCTGTTCCTGTGTTATTTTACTGAGGATGATGGCTTCCAGCTCCATCCATGTCCCTGCAAAGGACATGATCCCATTCTTTTTTATGGCTGCATAGTACTCCATGGTGTATATGTACCACATTTTCTTTATCCTGTGTATCATTGATGGGCATTTTGGTTGATTCCATGTCTTTGCTATTGTGACTAGTGCTGAAATGAACATACACATGCCAGTATCTTTTTAATAGAATGATTTTCATTCCTTTATATCCAATAACTGGATTGCTGGGCCAAATGGCATTTCTGGTTCTAAGTCTTTGAGGAATTGTCACTCTGTCTTTCACAATGGTTGAACTAATTTACATTCTCATCAATAGTGAAAGTTCCTATTTCTCCACAGCCTCACCAGCATCTGTTGTTTCTTAAATTTTGTGTTTTTTTTTGAGGCAGAGTCTCGCTCTGTCGCCCAGGCTGGAGTGTAGTGGCGCCATCTCGGCTCACTGCAAGCTCCGCCTCCCGGGTTCATGCCATTCTCCTGCCTCAGCCTCCGAAGTAGCTGGGACTACAGGCGCTCGCCACCTCGCCCCACTAGTTTTTTGTATTTTTCTTAGTAGAGAAGGGGTTTCACCGTGTTAGCCAGGATTGTCTCGATCTCCTGACCTCGTGATCCGCCCGCCTCGGCCTCCCAAAGTGCTGGGATTACAGGCTTGAGCTACCGCGCCCGGGCCTGTTTCTTGAATTTTTAATAGTCACCATTCTGGCTGGTCTGAGATGGTATGTCATTGTTTTGATTTGCATGTCTCTAATGATCAGTGATGTTGAACTTTTTTCCATGTTTGTTGGCTACATAAATCTCTTCTTTTGAGAAGCGTCTGTTCATTTCCTTTACCCACTTTTTAATGTTTTTTTTCCTGTAAATTTGTTTAAGTTCCTTGTAGATTTCGATATTAGACCTTTGTCATATGTATAGATTGCAAAAGTTGTCTCCCATTCTGCAGATTGTCAGACAGAAATATTTTCACATGTAAAAAAAATCATGGATGATATTTTACATTTTTACAGTATTCCTATACAACAGGTATGATTTTCTCATTAAAATGATTTTTTTAACAAGAAACACATAATAGTTAAGTTACAGTTGTGTCTAAACAAAAGATTAACACACCTGATTTTATTTTTTCGTAGGTTTCAATTAATGAGAAATTAATGTAAGAGAAGGAAGACTTTTTCTACTCTCCATAGGAAAAAATAATACTAGAGCTAGAAGGGATAATAAGCTACGTAATCTTAGTCATTTTCCCTCTGCTGAGCTTACCTTTAAAAGAATGTGATAGACCTAGCGACATCCAAGATACTCAAGCTCTGTAATCTGAGAATTTGTATTATGCGTTAACGTCTGTGTGTAATGAACTCCCCTGTTCACACATCTCTGTCAGAATTAGGACAGACAAGATCTATTAGCAACACTGTTAATTAGATCTATTGCAATTATCATTTTCCTGTGGAATTAGTAAAAAAAAAAAAAAAAAGTTTAAGAATACGACAATGGCTACGACTTTGGGGATGTATGGTCATATTTATGTAGCGTTTTGACTATGTAAACCAGTTATCAGAGCTCTCTCATTTAGACAATTATTTCCGTTTGGCAAATTTGAGAATATCTGTCTCATACCTGCATATTTCATAGCTGTTTCTCCAAAATATGTTCTCTTTTATGAATCACCTTAGACAAACACTTGCATGCTCTGTTGTTTGTCTGTACTGGGAAGCCTAGAACTACCATCCTCCTCAACAATACTGCTATTAACTTGCTGGATTTTGCAAAAGAATAATGTGTAATCATTCCTTTTGTGTCCTGTACTTTAATTTCATATACCACCCACACCAACACAGCTTTATATAAAATGACTTATTAAAGATGTAGCGATAATTAGAGAAAATTATTGCACAGAAAGAGCAAACTTGGCACCAGACACTAAATGGCACTTTTCATAATACAAAAAATCAATATGTCCATGCATGCATATATAAACAAACCAGATATTCAAGATAGCTACAGAATTACCTCTTGGATAACATTTACTTGCACTTTCTCACTAAAAATCTCCATTGATCTTTTCAAAAATAGCATTGGAAGTGTGCTTTCCACAGAAATTATGTTCCTCCATAAGTGGGGGATTATACACCCTGGCAGCCATTGTGGGGAGGCCAGGAATGCTGTTATCCTACAATGCATAGGACAGTCGCCTCAAAAAATAATGATCTTGCCAAAACACATCAGTAGTACCAATGCTGAGAAAACTTGCCCTAGAATAAAACCACTCAAACTTTAGTAAAATGTTCCTAGATGAATGATTTAGCCTCTCAAGTTCACTCATTTCACAGTATCTCCACAACATAGTGTTCTTGTAAGTCTTTACTTCCCCCTTATGATATATTGAGGATAGCCACTTGCCCAAACATACAAACATACCTATGTTTCTGAGACAAATAAGGATGTTAAATGAGCACACTATTAAGAGAGTTAAAGGAAGCAACACAAATATAAAGATTATATTTGCAAATGTACAAAAGGATTGCTATGTAAATATACAATAAGTTAAAAGCAGGCAGAAAATTTCAATTGATATATGGATATATATATATATATAAGTTTACAATTCACAATGAAAATAGTCAAGAAACTTAAAAGGTGGTCATTATTAAGAGAAATCAATTCAATTCTAATGAAACAAAAATTTTGTAAATGTATCTCATGGTCACAAAGTATTAAGAATTCATACTGACTGATGTTCAGTGCAGTGTCTGCAATGGGATATGCTCTTTATATTTGAAGAAGAGCAATTCCTCATCAGGCAAGACCGTCCCACACATTTCAGGATACTTAGGATCTCTTGCTTTTACTCACCAAGTGTCTCTAGTGTTCTCTATGCATGCTAACAACCAAATATTCTCATATTTTAAAATTCTTGATAGCAGGGAGTTATTTTTCCCAGTTGAGAACATTATGAGTGCAACATGCAATCATTAGACTAGAGTTCATAGTTAAAACTAAAATGTGCTAAAGGCTCCGCGGGTTAAGTTCAAAGAAATGTCTGCTCTTTGGATTAGCCATCTTTCTGCATCCAAAAACTCAGATTAGTTTACAATAGATTAGCAAAACTAATCTCATTAACCTATTCCTTCCCAAATTAAGTACATAATTGGAAAGAAGAAAATGGATATAGATATTTGGGAAAAGTCACTGGATTAGAGTTTTCTATCACCTTCTGTAGGAAGGAAGAGCCAGTCCCCTCTCGGACAAGTAAAAGAGATGATAAATTGATAAGTTATTCGCTCCTAAAAATTGAAAATGTGTAGAAGAAGAACCTACTGACATCCTCTT